CGGTGCGCAAATGAGCGGTGCGAGGATCTGTAGCGACGCTGTGAAACGGTACGCAGATGAGCGGTGCGAGGATCCGTAGCGACGCTGTGAAACGGTGCGCAGATGAGCGGTGCGAGGATCCGTAGCGACGCTGTGAAACGGTGCGCAGATGAGCGGTGCGAGGATCCGTAGCGACGCTGTGAAACGGTGCGCAGATGAGCGGTGCGAGGATATGTAACGGGCTCGTTTCAGCTGCGAGTTGGGTGAGGTGTGGTGGGAGCGGAGCGCTCGCGCCAATGCCCGCTGCTTCTTGCATCCTGCCCTCACACACATCTTTCGCAACACATCCCTCGCAAACAAAATGGGTACATAATGATTTCTTATATTTACGCGAACACTACACATTGAATAAAACTATTTTTTACGGATTTTATCGCGTTTAATTTACTTATTTTATATTCCCGACGTTTCGGTTGCTTTCCAGCAACCGTGGTCACGGGGGACTGAGGTGATTGACGTCCCGATGTCAAAGTTAACCCGGAGTACCTTCAGCTTTTTAATTATTAATTTTGGTCCGATCTACGCAGAATGAACTAACTGTGTCTTGAAGTCTTACAGTGGTATGCTTGGGTTTAGTTTTAATTTTATGAATTACAGGATCCCAAGCAGGTGGTAGTACCCAGCCTCCCTCTCTATTGAAATTAGGATGTTTTTTAATTTCAATAGCCTCACGTATCATCCTTGGCAGGAATCGATGTTCTTTCGCGAGGACTTGTGGTTTATCAAATCTAATGTAATGACGGGGGCCGTCTAGGATATGATCACAAACTGCAGACTTCCCGGAACGTTGGTGCTTCACGTCAGCTATGTGTTCTTTTACGCGGGTTTTTATTGATCGTTTTGTTTGCCCTATATATGAGAGACCACACTCACAATCAAGCTTGTATACTCCTGCATCTTGTAGAGGAATATTGCACTTGACGGATGGTAAGAACTGACTAATCTTCTTCGGCGGCTTGAAGAATGTTCTAATAGAAGCTCGCTTCAAGATGTAGCCAATCTTGTCTGTGACACCTCTGACATATGGTAGTACAGCAGGCACACGCTCGACTGTGGCCGGCTTCACTCGGTCACTGTGACGTAGGCGCGGAACCCGAAGCTTGTTGTCGTGCAGAACCTGCTTGACGTGCTGAAGCTCGGCGGCCAGGTGTTTGCTGTCACAGATCCCTCGTGCTCTCTGCAACAAAGATTTGCCCACGGTAGCTAACTGTGAAGGGTGATGGTGGGATTCACCGTTTAAGTATCGGTTTGTATGGGTCTTTTTTCTACACACAGTGTGACCTACGGTGTTATTAGGATTTCGAATGACTAACACATCTAGGAAAGCTAAAGAATTATTTGCCTCTAACTCCATAGTAAATTGAATTTTAGAGTTTATGGAATTAAGATGTTCTAAAAATTTTTTATTTTTTAGTACATTTTTAGAACATCTTAATTCCATAAACTCTAAAATTCAATTTACTATGGAGTTAGAGGCAAATAATTCTTTAGCTTTCCTAGATGTGTTAGTCATTCGAAATCCTAATAACACCGTAGGTCACACTGTGTGTAGAAAAAAGACCCATACAAACCGATACTTAAACGGTGAATCCCACCATCACCCTTCACAGTTAGCTACCGTGGGCAAATCTTTGTTGCAGAGAGCACGAGGGATCTGTGACAGCAAACACCTGGCCGCCGAGCTTCAGCACGTCAAGCAGGTTCTGCACGACAACAAGCTTCGGGTTCCGCGCCTACGTCACAGTGACCGAGTGAAGCCGGCCACAGTCGAGCGTGTGCCTGCTGTACTACCATATGTCAGAGGTGTCACAGACAAGATTGGCTACATCTTGAAGCGAGCTTCTATTAGAACATTCTTCAAGCCGCCGAAGAAGATTAGTCAGTTCTTACCATCCGTCAAGTGCAATATTCCTCTACAAGATGCAGGAGTATACAAGCTTGATTGTGAGTGTGGTCTCTCATATATAGGGCAAACAAAACGATCAATAAAAACCCGCGTAAAAGAACACATAGCTGACGTGAAGCACCAACGTTCCGGGAAGTCTGCAGTTTGTGATCATATCCTAGACGGCCCCCGTCATTACATTAGATTTGATAAACCACAAGTCCTCGCGAAAGAACATCGATTCCTGCCAAGGATGATACGTGAGGCTATTGAAATTAAAAAACATCCTAATTTCAATAGAGAGGGAGGCTGGGTACTACCACCTGCTTGGGATCCTGTAATTCATAAAATTAAAACTAAACCCAAGCATACCACTGTAAGACTTCAAGACACAGTTAGTTCATTCTGCGTAGATCGGACCAAAATTAATAATTAAAAAGCTGAAGGTACTCCGGGTTAACTTTGACATCGGGACGTCAATCACCTCAGTCCCCCGTGACCACGGTTGCTGGAAAGCAACCGAAACGTCGGGAATATAAAATAAGTAAATTAAACGCGATAAAATCCGTAAAAAATAGTTTTATTCAAAATGGGTACACTTAGAAACAAAACAAGGGAAGGATGTCCCTTGTTTTGTATATACAAAAACCTCGCTCCGCTGAGCCGTTTCCACCAGAGCTGCGCTGAGCGAGGCTAGGTAAATGAAGTGATTCTATTGGTTCTTAACAAACACATCCCTCGCTCGCATCCCGCGAAACGCAGCCTCCAGAATGCTTCGTATGTTTCGGATGGTGGGTGACGGTAACGGTGATACCAGGAAAGGACCACGCCCCTCCACAATGCTTGCTATGGTTCGTATGGTGGTTGACAGTAACCAGTGAGAGCAGAAACGGATCACGCCCCTCCAGAATGCTTGCTATGGTTCGTATGGAGGGTGACAGTAACCAGTGAGAGCAGGGACGGATCACGCCTCTCCAGAATGCTTGCTATGGTTCGTATGGTGGATGACAGTAACCAGTGAGAGCAGGGACGGACGACTCCCCTCCAGAATGCTTGCTATGGTTCGTATGGTGGGTGACAGTAACCAGTGAGAGCAGGGACGGATCACGCCCCTCCAGAATGCTTGCTATGGTTCGCATGGTGGGTGACAGTAACCAGTGAGAGCAGGGACGGACCACTCCCCTCCAGAATGCTTGCGATGGTTCGTATGGTGGGTGACAGTAACCAGTGAGAGCAGGGACGGATCACGCCCCTCCAGAATGCTTGTTATGGTTCGCATGGTGGGTGACAGTAACCAGTGAGAGTAGGGACGGACCACGCCCCTCCAGAATGCTTGCTATGGTTCGTATGGTGGGTGACAGTAACCAATGAGAGCAGGGACGGGCCACGCCCCTGCAGAATGCTTGCTATGCTTCGTGTAGTGGATGACGGTAACCGGTGATAGAAGGGAAGGACCACGCTCCTCCAGAATGCTTGCTAAGTTTCGGATGGTGGGTAACGGTATCGGTGATAGCAGGGAAGGACCACGCCCCTGTAGAATGCTTGCTATGTTTCGTATGGTGAGTGAGGAAAACCACAGACAATTTTTGCTGGTAACGAGGCACCACAGTTGTCAGTGGCGCACGTATGTCACTCTTGTATAATATTGTAAAGTTTGATTTAATATTCATTTCAGTCATATTTTGCTCACAGGTACAGAAGGGGAATTCAAACTGTTAGAACCGGAACGTGTGGCGCGGTTATGGGGTGCACGGAAACATAAACCGGCCATGAATTACGAGAAATTGTCCCGAGCCCTCCGTTACTACTACGATGGAGACATGATCGCTAAAGTCGCTGGAAAAAGGTAATATATTATATAAATTTGGTATCAAGAATATACTTTTAGCAGACTTCGTAAAAGGATGAGATTCTGAATTCGACTGTATGTTTCTGAAAAAAAAAATTTTTTTTGTATGTATGTAAGTATGCCGATTGTGAACCGGTTTTATAATAAATAGGTCACGTTTCAGTGGTGGTCCCATTTATATTGGATACAAATTTTAATTCCAAGGGTGGGAAACTAGAGGATGAAGTTTTTGATTTAACTAATCAGACAAAAGGGTCAAAAGGTTAAAAAGTTTCTTTTAACTTTTTATTACAAGATGAATTTTAATCTTAAGTTTTTGCCAAGTCGGTTTTCACGAATGATGACACATTCACAGTTACTGTTACAGCCTATTAAAGTCCACTGTTGAACTTAGGCCTTCCCATAATTGCCATAGCTGCCACGCTTGGCAACCGCAGATTGTCTTAATTTTCGTTGTTATTAGGAAGACGCTGCTGCCCATCTCCTGATTAGTTTCCCTCTGACGACACTCACGGGATGATATGGGGTGGTGGATATTCTTACACCACCACCATACGTTAATATTTGAACATTGAATATTATGTAAAAACAAAAAACAAACTTAAATTGGTTTCTCAAACATACAGGTTTCCTCACAGTGTTCTTCACCAGCGAGCACGTGGTAAATCAGAATTAAATTTTGCATTTAACAATTTCAGTGTCTCCAGCGGGAGTCTATTCGCTCACGTGCTATTTACGTAGTTTTAGGCGAGCGCTTACACTTTGACCTAAAAAGGTTCTGGTGTGCTTTGGTGAGTTAACCCTTTCGGTCCGGCAAGGGGGTGCAGTGTCACGACTGGAGATAAAAATTTGTAGATTATTTAAAAAATCTATTTAATAATGTTAAATTTAACGCCAGGCATATGTAAAATAATTCAGATATTTTTATTGAAGCTGAAAAATTGTTTTTTTGCTGTGGTACAATATGTCCCATCAGTCTGAAAACTTATAAAATTTTCATTGCTATTTCATATAAATTACTGGACTAATTGAATTCTCAGGGGATAAAAAACTAAACACTCACCAAATTAATTCTAAGTACTTTCGTTATGAAAGACACGTGATTGAATAATTTTTTCATCAATTTAGAGAGAAAAAAAAACACATACATTTGTGGGAAAATATACTTTTTTTATTATAGGCTAAGAGATCAGTAGCAAAATTAGGTACTTTATTTTATTACTTTACTCAGGCCAAATGCCAGGGTGTGAAACAATTCTTACACAAATATTTATTACAAGTCATACATGAGGTGTATGTGCGTGTGTCTTTTTTCTTTTGAGTGCAAGATACGCACCTTTTACGACAATTCATTTGCAAGGGCAAGTGATTTCCTATTACACCTCTTTCAACAGAACTTGTTGCTGTGGTTTGTCTTCGTTTCCATTTATTTGTATTACTTTTGCCAAATTCCAACATTTCTGGAGCCAATTCAACTAAAAAGTCCTTCATAGCGCATTTCTTGTTTACTTTTTCTCTATATATTACCCAAGAGTTGACTATCGCCATTTTCAATAGTCGATAGAATACCTTTCTCCACCACTTTTTAGATTTTCTCTCAAATTCATGTTCACCAACCATTCTATCATTTCTATCGACTCCGAACATAGCTCGTCTATAAAAAGCAACGATTTCTGGTGCTGGTACTGTGATAACGGAACCAGTTTTTAATTTTCTTGATACTTCAGTTCTATCAGTTCCATGACAGTTACTCATTAGGAGGACATCTTTAGTATCTTGCCATCTAACGGCGATAGTACCACGCCCGTTTCTGCAAAAGCCATTTCGCCTTGTTTCAGTTTTTTCCTGTCAATATTTTTGGCATGTTTTTTCGTGACATGTTGCATGTTCCTACGCAAGGAAACTGTAAGGTGTCCATTAGTGTTACGGACGTAAAAAATCTGTCAAAGCAGATTGTAGTGTCTGGATTTATTATAGTAGATGTCAGAGTTAGAACTACATTCTCTCCGAGTGTCAAATTATTTTGTCTTGGATTGGAATCTTTTCCTACATAAATATCCATGTCATAGGCATACCCACTCCTGGCATCAGCGCGTACCCACATTTTAATGCCACGTTTTACAGGTTTCATCGGCATATATTGTTTAAGACTGGAACGCCCTTTGAATTTAGTCATTGACTCGTCAATGCTTTGTATGTAGCTGTCCTCTCTATATTTTTTAAAAGTTTTTTTTAAACAATTCAGTACATCCTCAACGTAGTACGTTTTAGAAGCATCAGTGGGTTTTTCGGGGTTAGCGAAATACAATTTTCCTAAAAGAAACTTGCATCTGTCACGACTTATGGCAGCTTTTACAACAGTATTTCCTAAAGATGGTTTTGTGGACCAGTAGTCAGAGAAGGATGGAAGTTGGTTATATCCCATTATAAGAGTGCAGCCCAGAACTATCGCTATTTCTCTTCTGTCAGTAGTTGTCATATAGCTTCGTTTTCGAGCTCTGCTATCTCTGTCTCCTACCTCATTTCTCGCTTTTTCAATTCTTAAATTAGTGCATTGTGCGATATAATCCAGTAGACTCTTTGGAAAAAATTTCAAAAAGATGTCTATTGGCTTTGAATTTTCTGTAAAACATTCTGACGTGCGGCAGACTCTTGGGATACTTACAGTCTTTCTTGATGTAAAATTTTCGAGTACTGGTCCCCAGGTAAAATTTGCATTGACAGGTCTTTCTGAATTGTCGTTTTGAATTTCCGAGCTTTCGTTATCTATATCTGCGTTGACTTCAACGGCAGCGCGAATGATGTCTTCCCTATTTTCTGCGCTAACATGGTCTACATTTACACTTTCTCTAACTGCAGTATCTTCTGCTTGTAAGACATCTATTTCTTCAAGCCACTCTTCGTTATATTCTTCTTCACTACTACTAGCCAATAATTCTTCAGATCTAGAGCCTCTATGACAACCTTGAGGAGGAATGTATACGTCATCACTTCCAATAGACTCATCAAAAGAACTGTCTCCGTCTTCATCAAGATACTCAGCGATATCATCATCATTTAGACGCCTTTCTCTGTTTCGCCTTGAAGTCATCTGGAATACAATACAACATTGGGAAAGTATGCATAAAATAATTAGCAAATTTATTTATTAATTTATTTACACACCAATGTTTGAATGTTTGATTATACGCTGCCTTGAATTTCACACGCAGCCCATTAAGATTTTTTAAATTATAGGCACCATTGCGGGTTACGTACCTACCGATATACCCACTCGAGTACGAATTCCCTGTTACAAAAACTAACCACAAGCTCTTGTACTATAATTAAAAAGTTGTCAAAAGACTGATGGGACATAATGTCCCATCGGCAGTTTTTTCATGTCGTAAATAAATGTTTGCTTATTAAAATAGCTTAAATTCAAAATACTTAGAATATGTAACGTAATACGTAAAAAAACTTACCTCAAAATATCGCAAAATACACCTAAAAACATATATTTTTCCACCAGCTGTTACGGACGTGTTTGATTATTCAACCATAGATCACAAACTAATGTTGCCAGCCAAAAACTACCTATGTCAAATTATTTAAAATTTAATACCAGACGACTTGGGATGCATTTTCCCACTTAAAAGGCAAAAATGGAGTCTCAGTCCCACGTAAACTTTCTATGGGACATAGTGTACCATCAGTCCCAAATTATTTGGGACATATGCAAACCATCCGGTCCAAAAGGGTTAAAGAGGTGTATTTAAAAAAAAAACTGAAGTGACTTACAGCCCACATGATGATAAGTCGCTACGAAAAGTACGTAAATCCGTGGGTACCTGCGCCTGATTTGTGTCCGGTCGTGTAGGTTTGCTTATAAGACTATGAGAGTAAGTTAATAGAAAGTGCATCTGTGACTGTGCGCACACTCATGCACTATGATCCTGTCCAGCACACATGGTCAGTTCCCGTTGAGACTGGCTACCGTGACCGAATTTCTTGCTGGAGAACTATTAGTATTATATAAGATTTCATACCGTTATTTCATGAGGGTACATCCAAAAGAAGTCTGGTCTTTATCCTTTTTATTAATATAATTTATTCAATATAGTATAAATAAATAAATTGTCATCTAAATGTCACTTTGTTTTTCTTAAAGCGAAAATAAATAATTATATATTATTCATCAACAGGTTTGTTTACAAATTCGTATGCGATTTGCGACAGTTATTGGGTTACGGTGCCGACGAGCTGGCAGAACTGGTCAAAGAGGTTCACGACTCGAAGGAAGAATATGAACAAAGTTAAAAAATATTATACGTACTAAAAATTACTTGATAACCGTAAAAATACATCATCGATTAGAAAGTGTCTATCGGTCATTAATTTGACTTTGTAGAGCGTTGTTTTTGATTTCATTCATATTAGTATGTATGACACTTTTATATTCGTGTGCAATTTAGTGGCTAAATTGTCCAGTTGTTGTACAGGTTTTTCAGGATTGGGTCTCGTCCATTTCAAAGTTCATAGGGGTTTATAGGGGCTGTGAAAATAGTATTTTATAGATTTTTTTTATCTTATTTCTTTTTTTAAAACTACATATTTATATATTAGCAAAAAGCGAGATTGTTTTACATCTCTTACTGAATACAGGACTGTGACGTATTCATGCGATCGAGACGATGCTCTTCAAAGATGAAACTATTTAGATTATTGCCGATAGTATCTTTTTCAATCTCTGTGTGTAATGTTTGTGGACAGGTATGTAATATTTTATACGTGGTAGAGCCCATGCTGCAGCTATATTAGTAGTATAGTTTTAGCACGAATGGGTCGGCTCGATCGGGGAAGGACCACGCTCTCACAGAATACCAGCGTAAAATAGCAGTTTAAAACTGCTGTGTTTCGTATGGTGAGTGTAGAGAACCGGAGACCCTTTTTACTGGAAAAGAGGCATTCCATCTTAGTCCTCACGGGTGACAACGCATCTGCATTTTGATTAGCAAGCGAGGATAGATATAGATGTCTATGGGCCACAGCAACCACTTACCAGCAGGTGGACTGTGTGCTCGTTTGTCACCCTATCCTATAAAAAAACGGGTACTGCCCCTTATTTAATTAAAACCACCTTATTGTATACACAATAGAGCCTGTATTTACTTGCATTTCAACGCATAAATAATATATTTGTAACTGTTTATTATCGCTCACTTAAGTAGGTGTTTATTATCTCTATACCTGCCTCTGTCTAATGTCATTTAGTGAAGAGAAAAAAGGGAGGGAGAGAGAGAGAGAGAATGAGGGAGTGAAATCAAATTTAACCATTTCTTAATTTGACGTCGATTTTTATGAGATAGGTTCTAAGTTATTATATATATTATGTTATTACTATGGGTTGAGTTAGCACAGCATAGCGGAGTTGCTATGATTATATTCAAAGCATAATCATAGTGTTCGCTTTTTGCTTACCCACAAGGATTACAAGGCATAATTTTCCTGTCCTAAGATGGGAAAATACACTAATAGTGATTTTTCATTGAAGATCTTATCTAATTAAGAGCTTGCCTAAAAACATTTTGAAATATAATTTGATTAGTCTTTTCGTTTTACATAGCAAAAGCTTTAATAATGTAATTGTATTATATATTTTTTTATTTAATAATTATAAATTAACAATATATCTTTAGGCTGTGCGCGATATGCAAAGGTGTCATAATGTGACTGGGTTATATAGAAAAAATAGTGTCATAGCAGAAAGTAAAGTATCTTTTTAAATAACAACTCATTTACTTTTTGTTTCTTACATATCCTTTATTCATCCTTTTTTATTTAGAGATTGCGTTAGATAAATGAAAATAAGGAAAGGTTATTATGAAAAGTGCCGTAAATGCCTCTTTTCACAATAAAGTATAATATAATTTCAATGTTCTTTTTTGTATTAAATGCGGGATGGAATTGGTTTAAAGAATGTTATTCTGCTAATTATGATTTAACTTGTGGTTACCAACAAACTGTGTTTAAAACAAGTTCTAAATAATATGAAATAAAGTTAAAACTAAAATTAAATTTTATGATTGTTGATTGTATAAATAGCCAAGAAGAAAAGGCGAGAAATATGAATACAATGTTTGACCAAATACCTCTCTTCACCGAAGTTAGTAAAATATTGCGAAAAACATTTCTTCAAAACATTTGTATTAATAATACTGAAAGCTAGCACATTCTATCTTTGTGTCAGTAATATTTACGTCAATTAGACTGTTCTGTTGAAGTGAACCGATAGAAATATCATCTTAATAGTTAAATATTTTTTGCCAGTGTTTTATGAGCTTTTTTATTGATCTACATTTACTGATAGCTTTCATTTTACTAGAACCGTAGTCGTAGATAATGTAAATAAGATTAGTCATTATTTTAAGGCTAAGGTAAGGTAAGGCTTTCTGTACAAATAAATTTTATTATTGTTAAAGTGGTATTTTTTGTCTAACCTATTATTTACCCTTGTTATATTTATACTTTATGACATCAATCAATGACAGTGAATGTCATTGATTGATGTCATAGAGCAACATGGGCCAACGGCGGATGAGAGAGGAGTAGCCATAGTGTCTTTTCTGCCGACTTCCAAAAAGGAGACGGTATTCAATTCGACTGTATGTTTTTTTTATGTGTGTTACCTCATAACTTTGTACTGGGTGAACCGATTTCGATGATTCTTTTTTTATATGAAAGCTGATAATTATCGCGTGGTCCCATATGAATTTGATCAAGGTCAGACCAATAGTTTTTGCGTTATTCTTAAATAACTTATATTGAAGTCGACTGTACAAAATTTTTAATTTTAAATTATTCCCTATAAAGAACTGCCTGTCTTTTTTTTCCAGGGGAAATCTGCGCCGATAAAAACAATCGTCTGTCACTACGAAATTGATAACATAACAATAAACTAATAATTTTTCACTCACACAGATACAATATAACAGTATCGCGCGGTGTCAACGACAACCGGATATTGTCTGTCGCTAAGATAGTACACCCGGAGGCGCACTTATTATTTTGCTTTTATTTTATTATTTCTTACTATGTTTGTTAAATAAATGTTTTTCTATTCTAAGAAAAACATAGAATACTATTTTAAATGAATATTAAACACAAGTTAGGTAGCGAGAACCTTTCACCACCGCGCTTCGTTTTAAAATGCCAAATTCTCCTGCGGGTGTACGCCGCATGCAGCGACCTTTGATATCACGGCTGCGCCTTTGACAAGATGCGGCACGTGTCAAGGCGGCGTAACACACGGGCAATCGTATGTAAGCGAATAGACCGATCTGATATTGTATGAGGGCGAGTGTTTGTAAACAAATCCGAAATAACACGACCGTTAATGTGTAGGCGCATCTATGGAATGCCGGTTAGATCGAGAGTGGGCGGGAAGTTGTGTCACTCTGGCGGAGCGTCGTATCGAGGGTGGCTGGGTAGAATTGAGGGTAGGATCGGGAAACCCTCACTTGCTTGAGCAGAAAAAAGTTCATAGTAGGTGCCAAGCGCGAGAGATTCCGCTTGAGTCATTCTACGAGTGAAGTCATTCTACGTGTGCTAAGATAGAGTCGTGGTTCTGTCCGTTGTGGTGATTCTTCTGGTGCAGGCATGGAGGATGGTGATGCTGAGTGGATGTCCCGTGTTACGTTGAAATAGGTGGTATTGCTGTTGGTTTGCTTACGTTGGTGTATCATGTAATTATGTCCCTCACATTACACCAGTGTGTAATTGGGACGGAGACATATTACGGTGTGGTCAAACTGTAATTGCTCGATATAGAATGTATAGTGCGTTACGCTGTCGTATTATTTGCGCAAGCAAGAGAGCAAGTTCAACATCCGCTTTCACTCTTTTACCATTTTTAACAATTAACGCTATCCTGGTGTATTTCTGAGAACAGAATTGCCATTTCTTGTTGTATTTTTTTATATCAGAACTATCCTGAAAGTAAATAAACCTCGTGGAATTATACTGTACCTACGTATGGCTAACTCCCCTCTGGTCCGCCGGTGGCCCGTGTTGCTCTATGAATGATTAAAGTGTAATACAGAATTCATATTT